TATGTAATTAATAGCACAAAATAATACTAAAAAATTACTGTTTTGATTATTGTACATTCTGATCCTATGCACTCAGCAGAACATATTCCCACATATTATTTCGAGTGCCTCTCGAAATCTCTAATTAAAAGGAAAATTATATTAAAAGTATAGTTTTTTATTTTTTTATTGATATTTTATAGGTAGGCTAAATTAATTCATCTAATCTATAGTAAATGAACTGCTGCTTCTTGATGGGATATGGAAACATCTTCATTTGAGGGAAAATTCAAAACAAATAAAAGGGAACACGGAATTGAATTTCCTAACTTAAAGCATTTCTATGAATTTCAAGTGTGGCAAAGATATATATTTAGCTCCAAAGGTACTTCACATAACTCCATGGCTAGGGGTTATGCTCTCCACATTGTCTCATTCAGAGGGAATGTCAGAACAACTGCAATAAATGGCAATGGTGGAAAAAATTCAGGTAATTATTTATAATTAGTCCTTGCTTTGAAGACTCCTTAAGCCAGGGATAGGCTTCTGGACACATCTGGATGTCTGACAGCATTTTTAGGTATTCTCAAGTGGAAAATCTTATTCAGAAAGTGGCCCTCACTAAAGATTTGGCAAAATACAAACCACCAATTTATAAAAGGCTTCCTGGTAACTACTCACTACTCTGCTCTTCTGAGTTCTCTCCTCAAATTTCACATTATATCTTTATTTTTATTCTTTATGGATGGATCCATTTTCAAACAATTTTCTAAAAAGGTCTATAAGGTCTATATGGAAACCAGAAACATTCTAGTAAGGAAAAGATTATGCCACAGGCTAATCATTTGGAGCTCTCTATTTTCAAATTATTTACTTTTTAATTGCAATGGTTGAAAAAGCTTTTTAAATTACTCGCTATCTGCTCCCAAACATTTCAACTGTCTGTCTGTCTGTATCCAATCCTACCCTAAGTATGTTACAGTTAAATATCTTGTCAATGTTCTCTGGATTACTTCTTGTGAAGTAAACAGCTACTTTTAGTACCATAGAGAAGTCGCCTTTGCCAATCACACCTTAGTATTTTTTTTAAAGCACTTCTGTGTCCTTCTAAAGGAGGAGACTTATGATATTCCATCATGTTAAAATTGAGAAAGGTCAGGGGAGGAGCACGCATTTGTTAGGAGATTACCTTTTTGGCCTCAACAGACACTGCAAATGTTGTAATAGAGTTTATTCTTGACAGATCAATGTAGGAAGCAGGTTGTCACTGCTTTGTGCCAAAAATCATACTTGGTATTATAAGCAGGAATACCTCAGAAGAGAAAGGAAAAGAAATTAATTGCTGGCTCAAAAAACTAGAGCTTTTTGGAAATTCTGTGGTTAAGCTAAAAACACCGAGCAGAAACTATTTTGAGAACAAGACTGCTCTAATCGGCTACACTAAAGACTGACCTGAACCCTGACATGCCCCACCCTACAGAAGCACAGAATATTGTTATATAAACACTGCATATATTTTATTGTGACTGCAACTTTAAGAAGTTTTAAGCATATGTAATTGGAAATACAACATACATTACATTACTGGTGCCTTTTTTTACCCTGAGCACATTTACACACTAATGTGAATTAACTAAAAATTGAAAAAAACATCTGGAAGAAAGTAATAAAACTATTATTGCTACTATATTATTGCCAAATTAACAGGAGTTTGAGACTACTGATCAATGAGTAAATGTTATTTTTATGTTTGTACATATAGCACAATTCAAACTTGGTTCATTTAAAGATGCTTAATGAAAAAACTACAGGGAGAATCAATTGAAATGATCCACTGCTGTCCATTCACTTTACAGTATATTTCTCTTTGTGTATCAATTAATATTAATTAGAGCATTTGGGTTAATTTGCAGACTCCTGGTGTATTCTGGGAAATAAGAAGTCATACTACCAACATAAGGAATTTGGACTTTGTGTGACCAACTCAAACATTGACATGGAATGTGACTCATTGGGATAATTTGCGTATTCCTGTGAATTATAGTGACTCATGCTCACTCGTGTATTTGGGGGCACAAACGAAAGTCATTGTATGCTACAGAGAAGTTGGAATTTGTGTGATCAGCTAAAGTTAAGTTAGTAAAACTAGTTTAAGGTGCTTGAGGAATTTGATAAGTTATTGTAATCAACTATAGATAATGGTTCTTGATGAGTTTTAGTTTTCATATTTTGTTTTAAGGCATGTTTAATCTAACCTGTTTTCCTAAGAATTGCTGTGGAGGTACAAATAAATTTAAGAAACATTCATGAAATTTTCAATGATAAGGTCTGTGTGGAAAGGTTATATATTGTAGTATGCCAACAAGTTATACTTCACAAGTGTCAATTTGGGGGCTAGTATTCTTTTTTTTTAATGATCTGAATATTGATGAGTTTGATAGGCTGCTTTTATTAAAATTTGTGGAAAATGCAAAATTGGGATGTCTAGTTAATAATATGTTGGATGATAGAATGAGATCACAATGTCATCTACATAAATTGGAAGACTATCAAGAATACAAGTTCATAGCTTGGAAACATCTGAGAAAGTTTTGGCTATGATCATTGCGAAGTTTTAACATGAGTCATCATAAAGGCTATTATAGTTTTAGGCTACATCAGAAGCAGCATTACATCAAGACACATGCAACCGTTAGCTCTCTCTATATGGTGCTAGTAAGAGCATACTTGGGAGTGTTGAGTAGATATAGAAACAACATTTCCAGAAAATTAGGGTTGAAAAGTGATTCAATATGTGAAGACATGCCCTAGCAGGATAGGCAGAAGAAACTTAGTATATTTTTAGTTTGATGGAAAGCAGCCACCTCTCATGGATGGATTTAACTGTTTTACCTTTTTAAACTGCTTGCCAAGCGCTAAACCAGATGATCCATGCAAATCCATCCACCTTTACTATTCTGTTAGTTTTCCTATAATTGTAAACTGTGGAAAATACAAGTTTTTCTAGAATAGTTGCTAAAGATAGAGCTAGAACAAAAAAGCCAATTTTTATTACATAAACTAGAATCAAAGAAACCTAAAATCAGAAGAGACCATTTCAGCTCAAACTCAAATACAATCCTATGCCTGCTTAATGAGCCCTAATAAATCCAGAAGTCATGCCCATATGGTCTTATGCATTTTACTAGAGTAAGTTATTGGGCACTATATGCTTTTATTTAATAAGCCCCTTGTTGTTATGTAGCTGAACTTAGTTGATCTCAAAAAGACAATAGAGCCAAACCTGGTTGGATGAGAAACTACCAGGGGATGCTAAAATTGTAGGCTAAAACCAATCACTTGCATTGTAAAAAGCATTTTTTCAGAAGAGTTTTGCTAAGAAAAATAAAGCCAAGGTGGGAGTAATTATTAAGACGTTAGGAGTAGGAAGACCTAGGTTCTAAGTACATTCTCAGCAGTGGTGGGTTGCAGGTGGTACATCCTGGTACAGGCGTACCGGAGCCAGCCCGGAGCACCGTATACTGTTCCGGCCTGAGCTTGTTACTGGTCTTTAAGTCTTCTGTGCATGGTGTGTACAGCGCCTGCGGGACGCTCTACTGAGCAACTAGAGCATCTCAGAGGCTCAGTGAGGCACTAAGATGCATACGCGTGCTGCGTGCATCCAAGTGGATGCCGCCGGGCCAGTTGGAATGGGATCCGGTACCACCACTGATTCTCAAGCACGGCACCTCACTGGATAACTTTTGCCCAGACAACTCACTCTCTTAGCGTGCCTTCTAGAATTGTTGAGAGTTAAAAAGAAGAGTGGTATTGTTGTAAGAAATGTCCTCCTAGGTTCAGTTCCAAATGGAGAAAAAGACACTGGAAACACGGAGGCTACTCGGAAAGACGATTTTAATGGTGGACAGGACATGGTTTGAGGTCCTGAGGAAAAAGGGTTATCGCATACTTCCAGATGTTGGGCAAAGAAGAAAAGAGGCTGAGATGCTGAAAGTCCCTAGTTTTATGCCCTCTCTGGGCGTTGAACCTGAGCTTGTATTCTGATTGCTTGTCAGACTCCCATGGGGCCATGCAGGGTCAACTCTGTAGGCTGTGCTTTGAGTCCAAGTTTGATTGAGCATTGCATATTCCCAGGTGTCCTGTTAATACTATCATGCCTTAATCCCATCATCTTGGAGCGGAAGGGGAGATCTTTGTTATGTAGAATAGACTGGCTCAGGCCTTTTAATGGCCCGTTGACAAAGGTGGGAACTATTAAGAATGAGTGTGTTTCCTGCCTAAAAACATGTTTCTCCATTTCTTATCCAGGGAATATAATATTCTGCCTTTTCAATGTTTCCCAGGATATTTCATTTTTCTAGGAGAGGGGTGGGTTTTAATTTCCTACAGTATGTCTCCTGCTTTGAGCTCTGGGAATGAAAGACATGTCGTAAATCAAGCAAACTAACCACGTCCTTGAAGTCCCAGGGAGCAGAGATTTTATCTTAAGTTCTTAGAACACAATACAGCATTGTCTACTTCCAAATAAAGTGCGTCCCTTGTTGTTTTAGCCGCAACCCCACCATCCAAGCATTCCTATTAGTATGCTCAATAGGGCACGACTTTGCTGTCCGGTTTGCAAACGCTACATTTCGTTCGTTCGTTCGTTCGTTTTTTGGGCGCTTTTCAGGACTTCAGGGCTGCTACAAAGCGTTGCAATCGTTTTTCCCTCCCTGCCTCTGCAGCTAGCCTTCCGCTGCACGGCGGGGGACCAAAACAGCAACTAAACTAAACCTAAAACAAAATAATATAACAAATAAAATTAAAATTTAAGGTGCATTTGCTGCTTTTCCGACGGCCTTCCTCCTCCAACACGGAATTTCTCGAGAAAGCGAGGTCTTTAGCACGAAATCGAGAGGAGGGCGAAGTTTGCTCTCCTAGCGGTCGGATCCACAGCTATCTCGCGAGATGTGGCTGGCGGGTCTGTCGGTGGTGGTGGTGGGTGGCTCCTTTGCATAAATTGCCCGGGGCGGCACCCGAGCTGTGACAATCCTTGGAGAGTTAGCGTGCTTAGGCTGCGCGCGAGCTTGCTTGTACGGCTTTTGCTAGCAACCTCTGTTTTTTCCGGGTGAGTACGGTACTTACTCTTTGGGGCCAGCGGTCTGTTTTAAGTAGCCGTTGCCTTAGTGGGGATGACGGACCTTTCCGTTTTAGCCTCGGAGGAGGTAAAGTAGAGGGATGAATGACCCTGCACCTCGGTGCAAAGAACCGTGGCTCTGGAAACGTACTTGCTCGTCCCATCACTTGGGAAAAGTAAGCGTTTTCCCCGTAGGTTTTCTTGCAAGCCCTTGCAAGAAAACAAAAATTGGCTGTATGAGTTTGTAGAATTTTACTGCCTTTTGTTTCTCTTGGATTCAGCTTTAAAGCATCTCGGGTAAGGGGTGTGTTTGTGTGTGCAAAGGCTAAAGAACTGCTTGGGCGTCTTTCCCATAGATGCAGTGGTAGGATTGCAGGCTTCGTTTTGACCCCCTCTTTAAAAAAACAAAAAATAAAATTGAACTCCGAGAGAAAATATATGGTGCCAAAGGACTGCGTTTGCGCTCGAGAGCAAACTTTGGAAGCGGCAGAAAACGTTGCCAGGGAGAACTAATTCCCCATCTCTCCCTCCTCGATCGATGAACTTGCCGGCTGCTGGAAAAGTGTCCAACATCTCTTACAGTTTTTCGGATTAGGGTGTAATTCCAGTCGGTGGGTGTTAGCCAGTAGCTGAAGTTTTAGGAATACTTACCGGTGTATTGGCGGATTAAAAGCAAAAGCAAAAACTGCCACCAAACCAAACCTTTTTCAGAATCGAAACGAATATTCTGCTACGGAAAAAAAAACCTGAAAGTTTAAATATATGCTTTTAGAAGTATGTCGTTCCTATTTATAAGTAGAACTTGTTTTCTCGCTTACTTGAAAGCTCTGAATGTTTCCATTTCCTACATTTCTTCCGTTCCTATATCTTTAAATATCCTATTTAAATACTTATTTAGTGAATACCCTAATCAACATCTAATCCTGAAGCTTTACAAATCTTGGATATTTAAGATGGGTGAGGTACAATATGCATTGATTCGCATGGAATAGTAGGTTTGTTCTATATTGGTTAAGTATATTGGGTGTTTGTTCCTTTGAGTCATTTTTTTATTGGTGGGGGGGCGCTGCCTGAGTCACTGTAATTTTCTTGGCAACATTTTCAGAAGTGCCCTGCCTTGCCTCCTTCCTAGGGCCCAGACAGAGTGACTGGCCTAGGCATCAACTGGCTTTGTGCCTGAAACAGGACTAGAACTCAGTCTCCCAGATTGCTAATTTTGTGCTTTAACCACTAGACAACCCTGGTCTTTTTAGCCACTGAATTGCATTCCGTGAAGTGACTGAAATTTGTGGAATATTGAATGGGAATGTTGTTTGTTTGTTTGTTTGTTTTATTAGTTTTGTATGCTGCCCACTCCCAAAGGACTCCAGGCGGCTCACAATAAAACAGGGAAAGGGGATAAATAAGACGATACAACAATTAAAAAATACACAATATTCACAATCGAAGCGGGGCTGAGTACTTCAACAACCCCCGGCCTGTCGGAACAGCCAGGACTTAGTAGCTTTACGGAAGGCCGGGAGGGTAGTAAGGGTCCGGCTCTCCACGGGGAGCTCGTTCCAGAGGGCCGGAGCAGCAACAGAGAAGGGTCTCCCCCGGGGAATCGCCAGCCAACATTGGCTGGCAGATGGAATCTGGAGAAGGCCCAGCCTGTGCGATCGAATCGGTCTTTGGGAGGTAATTGGCAGGAGGCGGTCTCTTAGGTATCCACTAATGTCACTCCTAGTCCTTCTTGTCCTACAAATAGAATCTTTTCTTTTTCCTTTTCCTTTTCCTTTTCCTTTTCCTTTTC